TTTATAGCATCTTGTTTGTGTTCTGGGTGTTAAGAATGAGAAGCCGTGTTACTTAAAATAAATTGTTGTCACTGGATGAGTGTGAGGTGATGATGAGCCCCCACCTCCTATCTCTAAATGAATGTCACAGTACTTGAACTTGTGTGAATGGAGCCTGCCAGAAAAAGCCTGAATTAAAACATGTTTATTTTGCACAGCTTGCAGCCCACAAAAAAATAAATCAAGATATACGTTTTAAAATTGTGATACATTAATTGCTAAAGGTCAGGTTCAGATATACTTACATTGATTGCTGCTTATCTTATGGAGTTTAATCAATATATTTGTGAAACAGAGACCTATTTAGCTTGGGTACATGTATAAATCTGTCACAGTGAGTACAATTATTTTTGTTGCAGTGAGTGTTGCCAAAAAGTTCATTTTTTCCTGTATCTTAAACATAATGTAAGCATTCCATTGGTATATTAACTATATTGCATTATAGGGAAAGGTACATAGATAAAAATAGAGCATTTCAGCCTTTACCATGACAACAGTTGCTGGCTGACAGGTTTTGTTTAGTTATACAGTATCTATGAAAGCTCTTTCTGTACATTGTGTCAGAGGATAAAAGAAGCAAAATAATTGTTCCTTGAAGACAGTTTAGAGTGAATGAAGCTGATGAAACATGAGGAAACTTGCTACACCTTATATTTATTTTATATATTTAATGTGTCCTTAAGCTACTCAATAACCAAACTTTTTTGAGCAATGCACAGTAAATTGTTGCTGTTTCTATTACATTGCATCAGTATCTCCTCTTTTCTCTTCCTGTGAGAATCTAAGGTGGCTTACAAAACTCAATTTATCCTCAGAATAACAACCCTGTGATGTAGGGTTGGGCTGATTCTGTGACTGGTCCAGAGTCACCCAGTGAGCTTCATGGCTGAGTAGGGACTAGAACCTGGATCTCCTGTGTCCTGTTCTAACACTGTAACCACCACACCACGTACATTAAAAATATATAACACAAACAATAAAACAAAAAAATAAAATAATAGCCAGGAATAAAAACAACTAGAAACAGAATAAAATATTAAAGGCACTAAAACTAGTGCTTAAGTTAAACCAGTCCTGTTTAGGACGGGGTACTCATTGGTCTTCATCCAAGAACAACTCTGCTACATAGAACAATGCTGCTGTGCATGATATTTTTAATATCTCAAAAGTTGTAGTCCTTGTTAAATCTAGTTTTCCTGTTCTGTCCTACCAAAGAAATCTTAGTTGACTGATTATGTGTTCTAGTTCGTTGTTGGCTGCAGGTCCAACCCTGTCAGGAGGAGGGAACTGTGTCTCAAAAACAGACAGGTGCTCATCTTCTAATTCCTACACATGCTCTTACAAAAAGGGCTAAAGCTGTCTTCTGTCCACTCAGAGATTAGCAGTCTGGGTACCAAACACCATCTCCCTGGTCTCTGAGCCTTCCAAGAGCTCACTCCACATGAGCAATGGCAACCCCTCCCAATGGGAATAACTTTGCAGGACCTTTGCAAAGTGCTACATGGTCCACACCATCAACATTTGTCAAGCAGTACAGGCTAGACATTCATGCAAGGGCCGACTGCTGCTTCAGCAGAGCAGTCCTCTCTTGGATCCTGCAGTGATGACCCCATCCCATTGTCATCTTCAAGGTAAGTTTGCTTGTTGTTGTTAGTCGCAAAGTCGTGCCCAACCCATCACGACCCCATGGACAACATTGCTCTAGGCTCTCCTGCCTTCCATCATTCTTCGGAGTCTACCCAAACCCACTGCCCCAGTGACTCCATCAAGCCACCTCATCCTCTGTCATCCCCCTCTCCTTTTGCTGTCAGTTGTTCCCAGCATTGTAAGTAGCCCATATGTGTGATGCTCATTCACACAACCTACTCACCAGCCACACTTGGTGTTGATTCAAGACAGATGGCCCCCCTCTACAGGGGCCAAACTAGAGTGATACAATACCTCCCCCCCCCCTTGATCCTGAGATCTATAGACAGTCTCAGTACAACTGAGAGAAAGGGTGGGAGCCTTTCCCACAGATGCAGTGAACAGGAAGAGGCAGTGTTCCTGCCCAAACTCACACTTGGCTGTAGAATCTTCCTGATAACAGGCTCCACACAGATGCAGAGCCCATATGTATCAATGCACAGATGACCACTCGGAGAATGATAGGTGCAGGTAAACCATCAGGCTTTCCACACTACTCTCCACTGGTTTGCTTCAACTTGAGTACTATGTCTCATTCTGGGTACCACAATTTAAGAAAGATGCAGATAAACCAGGAAAAGTTCAGAGGAGGGCAAAAAATATGACCAGTGGTCTGGAAACAAAGTCTAGTGAGGAGAGACTGAAAGACATGAGCATGTTTAGTCTAGAGAAGAGAAGACTGGGTGGAGATATGATAGTACTCTTCAAGTTCTTGAAAGGTTATTATACCAAGGAAGGCCAGGATCTCTTCTTAGTCATGTCGGAGAGCAGGGCACAAAATAATGAGCTCAAATTACAAGAAGCCAAATTCTGGCTGAACATCAGGAAAGAAGCCCTGCCTTTTAGAACACTGCAACAAGCAAATTGCCCTCTTCCTACTCTATTATTCTTTGATTTTGTGATCTGGTAATTCAATTTGTTATTCACTGTGATAAACAGCACCAAGAAGACAAAACTTCATTTACCTGTAAATATAGTTCTTTAATTGGCTACCTGTGCATTCACACAAGTCACCCATTATCCCCAACTTTGGAACCTACTTTAGTACCAAGGTATTTTATTTTAACTCTCAGACAGTGTTCATGAATAAAAGTTCTTTTATTAACTTTTTACAGTGCTTTTCAATTAATAAAGTTACTTTGAGTCATTTGAAAGGTTTTTAACTGTTTAATATGATTAATTAAATGTTTCAGAATTTGTAATTTATCTTGAAAACACGACCTGTCTTATGTATGGCTAAATCCAATATTGTTCTGTTGGTGATTTCTATTCTGATCACTGACAATAGTGTCAAATCCAGGATGTAGTACTTTAAATTGATGATGATCCTGAACCAGTTTCAGCCCAACCTATCTCACAGGGTTGATATGATGCTAAAATGAATTTAATTTAAATTTAATTCTTATTATGTATAATGTATACATTAATATGTGAAACACATTTAGTTACTTTGCCATTCACCCTTTGTTATCTTGCTTGATCCTTTCGGCCCAAAAGGATAGTTGTTGTTACAGTAGTATATATGAATTAGGTATATAAGCTTAAATGAATGCCTATAGATGTTTGAGGTAGCTGGCAGTTTCCAGGGGTTACCCGAACACGCCATCTGTTAGTCTGTTTTGACAGTTTATATATGACTGTTAAATTAATGTCCTTTTAGCTTGTGGTTAACCTTTTCTCTCTCTTTTAAAAATGTTGAGTTCATTAATAATTTTTTTCCATGCCTACTTCAGTTATGTGTTCAAGTTACTTGCCAAAATATACGAAATAGTTAATTTTTGAAACTCACCAGTTTATAATATGCCACATGTGCTGGTGAGATGAAACAAGTTCTTTGGGGACACAAAATTATAAAGTTCAAACTGAAACTAGATCTCTTGAACTTTTGCAGTATTGTGGATCACAGATTATTCATTTAACCTATAGAATGTTGAATTCCAATTGCCCTGATGTGTATACCTAGCCATGCTAGCAAACCATGGTTTGTTAACCACAAGCAACCCAGAAAAAGAATCCATGATTTGTTATTGGGTTGCGTGTTGTTCTCTGGGTTTTTGAGTTGTCACTTCAATATAAATTTCTGATACCCTATGTTTGAACTCTTTGTAACATTGCTGAGGCCTTGATCCAAAGAGTACCCCTCAAGTTATACAGAAATTAAAAATTGTTGTGTGTAACACTAGTGTAACTTAAATCGTTTGGTTGAAACAGCATTCTTAGTTGTGATAATCCTGAGAAGACAATTGCTGGCATCCAACTTTCTGCTTAACTGTCCACTGTTAAGTGTGGAACATGGTCTACTTCCTTTAGCTAACAATGCACAGAAGGTGGATTCAAGGTATGGCTGGGGATAGGCTGAAGTGACCAAGGAATGAGTTTGCTCTTAAAGGAATATAAGCTTTTGGATTGTTAATGGCTGATGCTGGTTTATTATGAAGGAGGAGAGGGCTGCTCTGTATTGTTGGGTGCACACTTCAATAAAGATATTTTGGTTTTTTAAATCTTCCTGGTGGCTTGTTGGCTCTTGCAGTCAGACAAATAAAGTTTAGGCTGGTTGGAATTAGAATGATTCACAATTTCACGTGAACACAGGTCTATGGGTTGTTCATGAGTTGGTTCATCAGGCTGTGGAGGTTGCAGAAAAGAGTGGTAAAAACAAAACAAAAAATAATTTTACATGCCAGGACTATAGCACTGCAAAGGCATTTGGAAGGGAAGCGGAAGGGAGGAGAAGGGAAGGAAGAAGGAGGGAAAGAAATAACCCAGGGATTGAGAAAAAAACTATGGTTTGTTTGATATTCTATCCAGAAGGGCTAAAAATAGGTTCAGTAAATGATAGGTTAGCATTGTGTACCAGTGTAAGTTGGTGTGATGTCCTTCTCCAGTGAATTTTCCTTTGCCTTTGTATTGCGTGTTACTTGCAGGTCTGTTGAGGAAAAAAGTATTGTTATATATTGATGTAATTTATCAACATTTGGAGGTGTTGTTGCCAAATGTATTCCTGTAAATTCTGTGGCTAACAGAGGCAAACTATTTTGATGAATCACCACTTGACCAAATGAGTTCTATAGTGTTAAAATAATATTTACAGGAATTCAAAGCTTCTGTTTTACTGGCAACACAAAAATAAGACACCAAAGGTGGAAAAGTACAGCTGATCGCCTGTGATATTAATGATGCGTCTGATTCATACATGTCTGTATTTGGCCTAGAATTTGAATCATGCATCATTTATAAGATGCATATTAACTGTATCCTGTTCTCTCATTGTTCAGGTGGCAATTATTGCTGGAAATTTTGAGCTTGCTGAATATATCAAGAATCACAAGGAAACTGATATCGGTATGTAAGATACATATCAACATGTCAAGTAGAATTTATATGGAAGTTACTGCATATAAATAAAGGGTTTTTGATTATAAGTGAAGAATAAGGTATACTGTGACCTTGTAAAGATATGAATTGTTTCCATCTTTCAAAAATTGAAGGAAAGGAAAAAAAGTTAATTCCCACCCCCAGTGAAATGTTTTGAAGGGATGTGGATCCATAAAAAAGCTAATACTGAGAAAATATGACTCTGGAGTTGTTTGGAGCCAGCATATTTTATGAAGAACCTTGTTTTGTATGTCCCCCTCAGTCCTCAACACCTGAAATACAATGTGATACCATGTTCCCACTGGAGGAATCCTCCTCGGAGAAGGAGCTAGAGCTCTCAGAAATCATGAGCATCACAGTTCAACTGCAGAACAGCCTAAGTCAGAAGAGTAGAAGAAGCCTGAGTCCTCAGGGGGAGGGGGATACTGAAAGCCTTAGATTATGACTCCCATGGTGACTGCTTCCAATATCTCAGTAACAGTAATTTATACTGTTAATTTATATTATTTTATGGAAGTTTATTTATGGATGTGAGCCACTCCGAGGCTTCGGCAAATGGGGCGGCATAGAAGTCTCCTAAATAAAATAATAAAATAATAAAATAATAAAATAAATCTCATTAACTTACGGTCCTGAAGATTGAATGTGGGTGGATGCCATGAAAGTCTATGCTGCTGTCCTGGTTCACCAGTTTTATCAGTGATATCCAGAAAAACTTTGCTCCATGAATGTGTTGGGGTGAGTGGGAAGGAGTGTGCTGTCAGTCCCACTCCTGGAAGAATCCTCTTTAAAGGAAGATCTTGTTCTAAGAAATCAAGAGTGCTGCAGATTAGCCCCTATCAGAAGACCAAGAGGAGCTTTAGCTTTAGTTTGGTTCCCTACTGGATTGAAACCAAGCTTGGGCCATTTGTCTGTTTTGTCCTTTTGGATTATCCCATAATTTGTTCTAACACTGAATCTGAACCAGCAAAGGAAGGCACCTGGAGATATGCTCCCCTATGGAGTTTCTTACAATAGAGGACTGAGTTTGAAGGAATCTGGAAATAGCCGTATAGTGTGATGAGATATGTAATGCTTAGACATATGAAAAAATAAATAAAAATAACGAATTACTGGGTGTGGACAGCATCCACTTGAATATTCTTAAAAAACTCAAATGTGAAATTGTTGCATTTCCAATAAAAATATGTAGTTTGTTGCTAAAATTGCTCTGTGTGCCAGAGGATTTGCCCAAGTGAGAGAGAAGAGAGAGAGAGCATCTTAAAAAAGGGGATACAAGTTATCTGAGAAGGTCATGAAAGTTACAGGCTATTTTGGAAAGCATTAGTAAAGATAAAACTAGGGAGCACTCTGGGTGACTTAGCACAACACATTAAATCCCCTAGTAATTTTACACAAGCAATGTGGGTAAAATTTCCCTGTGCCAGACAGGGGATCAGGCACAGTGTGTGTGTGTGTGTGTGTGGGGGGGGGTATCCCTCCCTTCTCTTCCCCATCCTCATGCTCCTGAGCTTCCTTTACTGTTCCAGGAGACAGTGCGGGAGCAGTAAATACTGAAGGGAGTCAGATGTTCCTATTTCCCTGCCCTTCCCCACCATTGCTGGCATAACAGGACTGCCCTTGATCAATTCCGCTTTCTTATTGGTAGGAAACTTAAGTGGACAGGAACTGGAATCGAGTGTAGGACAATTCTCTCAGTGGAAGAAAGTGGCATGTATACTGGAACCAGTGTTTTTAACCTGTTTTTAAATGATTAGGATTAAAGAGTGAAGTGGCCAACTTTGCAAATGACACCAACTTACTCAAGGTGGTTAAAATTGAAGTCGATTGAAAAAAAAGATCTACAAAAGAATCTTCCAACTGAGAAAATAGATGAAAACAATAAATGCCATGCAGTGTAAATAAGGATAGACTTATGCACTAGGGGACAAAGGGAGGTGGTACTCCTAACTTCAGATATATACTGAAAAGCTGTGAACTGACAGAGGACAGATTTCTTGGAATCATGCTGGATAGCTCAATAAAGATCATGCAATATTAAAAATAACATTTATTCAAAGGGGTGAACCGGTATTGTAATATAAAACTCTGGGAGATATTGTTTACAGACCAAGTCAGATCTAAAAAATGATATTCAAAAGTGAACTGGATATAGAAAAGGGAAGCCAAAATGATCAGCACTGTAGAACACTTCTCCTATTGGAAAAAGCTACAATGATTGGCATTTTAGTTCACAGTACTTGCTAAAGGAGAATATCATGGAGGTTTGTAGTGCAAAGAAATTGTACAGCTTTTCCCTGTCTCTCCTCATGCTGCAGTTCTAGGCCAAGGCTTCCCAACATGGTACTTTCTGGATATTTTGGAGTTTAGCTCCAGCTAACATGAGCAGTGGTCAGGAATGCTGACAGCTGAAAATTGGTCAGGAATGCTGACAGCAACAGGTTGGGGAAGGCTACTCTAGGTAATCCAGTGAAATTGATTGGCGGAAGATGCAGAATAGACAAAAGGAAAGTATACTTCTTGCTGCCTTGAAGGTGGTGTGAAAGTTGGGTTTATGTCTTACATCTCTTGGCCTTAAAATTTATCACTTGGTGTCAAATTTATAAGGTGAGTGAGTATTCTATCGTCACCTTGGGGTAATCTTGGAGGACGCTGATTATTTAGATTATTTTGATCCTAAGGGCTGTAACTGGAGCAAAGTCGCAGGCAGGGGGCTGCAAATGAGAGGTATTAGCACCAAGCTAACAGTGAACTCAATGAGATTGTTGGGAGAGGATTAAAACTTCTTCTTTCCCAGTTATCCCTATCACAGTTGCCATTTCCTGCTTGTATTTAGCACTTTTTACTGCGGATCAGCAGGGCTTCAGACAAGTGTAGTTGGGGCTTCCCCAGGCTTCAGAGTTTGCATGAACAATGGCCACATGCCACAGATTGCCCAGTTCTGCTTTAGAACCTTTTTAATTTATTGATTTAGATTTGCAACAGAGACTTGCACAAAGGCATTAATAGGGTGTAATGGGGAAACTGCAGTCCTGCGGGTACTCTATACCTCTCAGCATAGTTGGATACCTTCAGCCATGGTATTTGCCCGTAGGTTGTCTCACCAGGGTGGAATTTAGAGGCACAGTATTGCAGTGACTGGAGTTCTTTCTGACTGGATGGGTCCAGAAGGTGGTGCTAGGGAACTGATGTTCTACATTTTAGTTTTTGCAAACTGCAGGGTTCTATCATGTCCCTGTGCTTTAAAACAGCTACATGAAACTGTTTGGAGAAGTCATCTGGAGGTTTTGCTGTAGTGCCTTTGATACAAGGGTGACACACACATACACTACCATGGCTCTTTTCCTTCACCCAGTCCCAGGATGTCCATTTGGACAAGTGCCTAAAGTCTGAATTCTAATAACATTGAAATGTTGTAGCTTAGGAAATCTGCTTATCTGGAGAGACATAGATAAATGGTTTTAGATAGGGATACCGTTTATTAGAAGAGTTAGGTATGCAATCTATGGGTTCTTTTGAGTTTGGTGCCATCAGGGGAGGAACTGATAAGTTTGGTGGCCACCATCTTTGGTTTGACAGTTGTGATCCTCTGTGGAGAAAGCATACTTTTGGTTTACAGTAGGTTAAAGTACTGTAACATGCTCTATGTAGAACTACGTTTAGAAATGGTTCCGAAAATTTCATTGGTACTGAATGTAGAATCTTCAATTATGCGTTGTAGAATGAAAAAATATTACATATTTCCCATACTGTGTACCCTTGCTGACAGTTTGTCTCCAGGCTCAATTTAAAACAGTCCTGGTCTATAATACCTTATACTTTTTGGGATCATGTTATTTGAAGGACTTGGAATGAGGCTTTGGAATGAGGATGTGGAATGTGGCTTTGGAAGCTGTACGTTCAGTCCTGGAGGCCCTACTTTCTGTCCCATTGCTAATGCAGTCATTTAGTAGGCAGTGTCCCTATATTTATGGAATGCACTTCCTGATGAAGTAAATATGCTTCAGTCCCTAGTGAGTTGTAAAAAGACTCCATAGCAGGGCAACAAATGCTTTGCAACAGAGGCCCCGGGTTCAATTTCCAGCTTCCTAAAGTAATGCTAGGGAAGAAGCCTGCCTGAAATTGTGGATAATCACTGTTAGTCAGTGTTGCTGTTGGTCTGATGCAGTAAGGTAGCTTCCTGTGTTCCTAGAAGAATTCTGAAGATATTTTTGTTTCAATTTGCTTTCGCTTAATTGTTGCCTTGATGAAGTGTGCCACAGTTTTTGGAAAAACAGTTTTTAAAAATTTTTGAAAGAAGCAGTGTGGATATTAACTTTATTATTTTTGTGATTATGTCCTTAGAGGAAATCAATACATTTTTGAACAGATGAATGAATATAATTGCATAATTATATGCTACCACAAGTTGATAGCCTCAAGAGCCATACTTGGGCATTCAGAATCTGTGTCGAATGAACAGACTATGATGTGATTTTCTGCCCCAGAAAATCAGAGTTCTTAATCATGTGGAGCCCCTCCTGTTCACATAGAGACTCTTCAGTACAAGGCTAATAGCAATATGTGGGTGGGCGAGACTGCTCCTTCTCAAGTGTTGATCCTACACAGATTCTCAGTGTTGAAAGTGTTTATATTTATGGGATCTATAGCCCACCTTTTTTCTTGCAAGGAGTCCAAGGTGCTTCTCATCTTCTCCATTTTATCCTCACAAGTCTGTGAGGGTATGTGAGATTTAGTGAATGACTGGCCCAGAGTTACCCAGTGAGCTTTGTGGATGACTGGAGACTAGAACCAACCTCCTAAGTAACCTAGCTCAGCACTCTAACCCCTATGCCACACTATCCCTCAAATGCAAGGAAGAAAATCTTCATGGGTAGGGTCAGAGTGGCTGTGGGAAAGGCCAGATGTCATAGTCTTTGAGGCCAGACCTCCTGCATCCATCAACACCAGCACAACCCTGCATGCAT